ACCTTCTGGTGTTGAGTCTTGTCCTGTTCCCATGACTGTGGGCCCTGGGGCTTGACGGGGTTCTGGTAGGACTCCGGGGGGCTTCCCTGGTGCTTTGGCAGTAAAGCGTCCGCCTGCCAGTGCAGGAGATGCGGGTCTGACCCCTGGGTCAGGAAGATCCCCTGGAGGAGGGCATGGCAACCCACTCCAGTGTTCTTGCCTGGAGAATCTCATGGACAGAGAAGCCTGGTGGGCTATGGTCCATGGGGTCGCAAAATGTCAGACTTGACTTAGAGACTAAACAACAACAGGACTCAGGAAGCCACTTCTTCTGGGTGTGACCTGGGGATCGATCACTCTGGGGCTTTAACTTTTGTTTTTTGAATTTTTATTTATTTTTGTCTGTGCTGGGTCTTCAGTGCTGCAAAGGCTTTTCTTGAGTTGCAGCGAGCAGGGGGCCACTATCTAGTTGCGTTACACGGGTTTCTCATTGCAGTAGCTTCTCTTGTTCTGGATCAAAGGCTCTAGGACACCACGGGTTTCAGTAGTTGTGGTGCACAGGCATAGCTGCTCTGTGTCATGTGGAATCTTCCCCGACCAGGGATCGAACCTGTGTCCCCTACATTGGCAGGTGATTCTTATCCACTGTGCCACCAGAGAAGTCCACTCTGGGTTTTTCTGTATAGACATTGGACTCTCCCAAACCTGGTCAAAGGTGGGCATAGTATCATTAATTAATTGTTTGATCAATCAGTTATTGATTAGCAATTAATAAGTTAATTATTCAGCACAGTAGGGCAGTGTGAAGAACAGGGACACCGTGGGGAACAGAGCCACCAGGCGTTCTTGCCTTCTTGGGGCTTTGGGCTGTGGGAGAAGGATGAATTCTGGATGAGCAAATTCAAGTGTAATTGGAAGCAGGTGAGGGAAGGTCTCTCCTGCTAGGAAGGCATCTTCATGGGGGTGACATCAAATGGAGGCACAGTCACTTTGTCCCCTTGTGTGTTAACAGGGATATATTTCCAATCACATGGTCCCTAAGTTCTGAGTCAACTTTTCTAGTCCTTTTCTTCCACCTGCCTTCTTGTTAGCATCTCCTGGGCTCATCTGGTGCCTTGACCCAGGGGAACTTGTAAAAATGGTGAACTCTTGTCTCACCCTCCCCTGCAAAAAAACCCAAAAGGACTTCAGAGGAGAGGAGGGGAGTTAGGTGGGGCTGTGGGGCAGCTCATTGCCTCCCTGCCCCCAACCCTGCCCCCAGGAGGGCCTGAGGCAGCTGGTCAGAGATCCCCAGGGCACAGAATGCTGTTCCAGTCCTGACCCAGGGCTGGGATGGGAGCCAAGCTCCAGCCCCGCCTGCCGTGACTCTGTCCCTTTGGCTGCAGGCCATCCTCGGCCGCCCTAGCTGGGTGCAGCTCGCTGATGCCGTGAGTGTGTATGGAGCATCAAACTAGCACCAGGCCAGGGGCTCCATTCACTCCCTGCCGGAGTCTGGGGTGCTTCTCAATTCTGGCTGTGCTCAGCCATTATGTGGGGAGTTTTCGCAAGGTACACATGCCTGGGGACCCCTTGCTCCAGACCAATGAAATCAGAATTTTGAGGATAAAGGCCTGGGCATATTTAAAAAGTTCCCTGGGGAATTCCCTGGTGGTACAGTGGATAAGAATCTGTCTGCTAATGTAGAGGACACAGGTTCAATCCCTAGTCCAGGAAGATGCTACTTGGTGCAGGCCAGATGAGCCCGTGTACTACAACTAGAGAGTGACACCCCACCCCCGCCCCACTCACTGCAACTCGAGAAAGCCTGTGTGCAGCAACAAAGACCCAGAGCAGCCACAAATAAATAAGTAATAAAATATTTTCTTAAAAGCTCCCTGCAGGGGATACTGTTCTGCGAAGCCAGGGTGATGCAGAGCAGGCCTGGGGGTCCTACTTGGGGCCTCCCCACCCTCTGGGGAGCCCCCTGGCTGCCCTTGGGGAAGTGGCAACCCCATTTCTTGGAGATACCCTAGAAATGCTGTGGGACCAAACATCCCTACCTCCCCCATCACATCCCCTCCCCCCAACAGAGGCCTGGGGACCCGCAGATGCCTTGGGCATTGTATCCTCCTGTGCAGGGAGGTGGCAGTGAGCTTTCCCACAGTGGAGGTGGCCCCTGATGGCTTCCAGCTGTCTCTGGGGCTGGAAACTTGGTGGGAGACGCAGCCAATCTGAAGTCCATTGAAACCAGAAACTCTATAGCAATGGGAGTGGGGTGGGTGGAGAAGAAGGCGTGCACTCCAGGGAGCTTTCCTAACTTAGGAGCTGACTCCAAAATCATCACTCCCTTCAGGGAGAAGAATGAAGTATGTTGGAGAACCAAGCACTTTCTTGGGCTGTGAGGGGCTAAGGCCCCCGGCTCAGGTTGGATGGGGTGGGGTGGGGTGGGGGTTGTCCCTCGTCCACCAGCATCAGAGTCCCTCCTCCTGGCTCAGCTGTGGTCAGAGGGCTTACTATAGGCTGTCATCGCCTGGCACACGAACAAAACCCCGGAGCAAACCCATTTTCACATTCAATCCTAAATGCTCAGAGGAACCAGGTTTTCCTGAGATCACACATTTTTCCAGCATTAGGCTGTGCTTGAGCAAAACAATGAAATAGGATTTTTCTTTCTTTTCCTGTAGTTTCTGGGGCCACAGAGAAGATGCTTTGGGTAGGTGGGGTGCCGGGTGGAGGGAGAGGGCAGGAGTGTACCTGGACCGAATTAGATGCTCAGGCTGTCTTCTCACCCAGCTTGTGGGGCCTTCTGGAACATCTCAGAGTGGGTGGGGTGGCTTTGAATTTAGGGCAGTTGCCAGGGAGACCCATGGCTTCCACATGCTGGGAGCGCCATGGTGGGTGCAGGGGAGAACATGTGTTTAAAGCCAGTCCTGGCCCTTCCTGGGGCTTCCCTAGTGACTTAGAGGATAAAGAATCCACATGTAATGCAGGAGGCCCGGGTTTGATCCCTGGGTTGGGAAGATCTCCTGGAGAAGGGAATGGCAACCCATTCCAATATTCTTGCCTGGAGAGTCCTGTGGACAGAGGAGCCTGGTGGGCTACAGTCCATGAGGCCGCAAAAGAGTCAGACATGACTGAAGTGACTGAGCATGCATGCATTCTGGCCCTTGCTGACCATTGGGAGGAGTCACTTAACCTCTCTGAGCCTCTGTTTTTCCATCTGTGAGCTGGGGATGATGTCTCCAGTGGGACCTCGATGGGGGATGTGGGAGGAATGAGAATTAAGGGCCTAGGAGGGGGCTTTTGCCTCTGCTTTTCCACCCTTTCCCCCCAACCGCTTGAGCAGCCCTTCTTTTCTGTTTTACTTATTGGGCTTTCTCATCAGTTTTTCCTGAAAAGGCTGCCACCCAAGCATCTCAAAATCCACACACCCAGACTGCATCAGGGTCCAGTCATAACAGCCTCTGAGGCCCAGGCCCAGACACGGGCGGTCTGTCACAGGTCCCTGGTGAGTGTGACACACGGCCGAAGTTGAGAACCGTGCCCTCAAGACCAGGTGAGGCGGTCAGCCAGGCGTGGGGTCACTCCCGCCCAGCAGCACTGTCACCGGCCCCCGAGAGCTCCGCAGGGTCGCCTTATCCGTCCTGGCCTGGGGGGACTGCCTGGCTCCTGCGGTTCTCCGTGTCGTGCCCGGCCCCTCAGCCGGGGTGCCGAAGTCCGTGACGTTCAGCCACTTGTGATGCTCTCAGGAATGTGACTTTGAACTCCACCTGCCATGAGGCCAGGGCCGGAGGCGGAGTCCTTTGGCTGGCTCGAGGACCCCTGTAGACCCGAAAAGGGAGCTGGCTGCTGGTACTGGGGTTAGACGTGAAGAGCAGCTGACCCGAGGATCAAGAAAGCTGGGGTTGCTGTCGGCAGGAGAAGCCGAGGTGGGCGAGGAGCTGCTCGCCTCTGTGCTGTGAGCAGGGTCCCTGGGGGTGAACTCCGGCTTGGCCTCCCTGGGCGCCCAGTGGTCCTGGATCAGTTCTCTGCCCTGGGCTGAGGTCCAGCCCTGGGTCTGACAGACTTTCCAGCTTGTTGCCAGGGCCTCTGTGATGCACAAGTGTGCATTAGTTAGTGTTAGTCGCCTGGTCGTGTCCGACTCTTTGCAACCCCATGAACTGTAGCCCGCCAGGCTCCTCTGTCCTGGGGATTCTCCAGGCAAGAATACTGGAGTGGGTTGCCACTTCCTCCTCCAGGGGATGTTCCCAACCCAGGGATTGAACCTGGGTCTCCTGCATTGCAGGTGGTTTCTTCAACATCTGAGCCACCAAGATCTCAACACAAATAGCATGAAGTGGGCCTGCAGAGGCTCACCGCTCCCTTTGCCAGGTATCAGGAAAGAAGGTGCCGAGATAAATACACGGGGTGTGGGAGGCGAGGATGCCAGGCATGTTTGTGTAAAACACGAGCCAAATGGGCCTGACTTGACCTGGGAGAATCTCCACCAGGCAGCCATTGTCAAATAGAAGTTCATCAGTGAAGTGAAAGCCCAGTTTTTGAAAAATGTCCACATCCAGTGAGAGTCACACCTTCTTCCCTGGTGTCTCAGATGGTAAGGAATCTGCCTGCAATGCAGGAGACTCCAGTTCGATCCCAGGGTCAGGAAGATCTGGAGAAGGGCATGGTAACCCATTCCAGTATTCTTGCTGGAGAATCCCATGGACAGAGGAGCCTGGGGGGCTACAGTCCATAAGGCCGCAAAGAGTCAGACCCAACTGAGCAACTAACGCTCTCTGCACTCTCAATGAGAGTCATGGGCCAAGGTTTTCTGACTTGTCTCTTTCTCCAGCCTTTCGAGGGAGGGGAGCTGGGGGCAGGTGGATCCAAGAGATGGAGGAAAGTGGTGGGGGGCAAGGCCGGACTGGAGAAGACTGGTGACCCCTCTAGGTCAGCCTGCAGATAGCAGTGACCTGGGGCCTCTTCACTTGGGTGCAGCCAGGAGGGCCAGGTTGTCTGCCGCAGCAGCCAGTAACGAGAGATGCCACCTTGCTCTTTGGCAGGTATCGCGTGAATGTCAGACCCAGGTATGTCACCAGGTACAAGACGGTGACGCAGTTGGAATGGAGGTGCTGCCCTGGCTTCAGGGGGGGAAACTGTCAAGAAGGTCCCAGAGACCCTGGGAGGATGCCCCGCCCCACGCCCGCTCGGCCCCGCAACAGCTTGAAGAAACCCACAGGTAACTCACTGCCCTCCTGCGCTCAGCCCTGCTTATCGCCGCTCCTTCCAACTCCAGGCTTCGTGAGTTACATGCGGGGCTTTCCCAGAGCTTCCAGGAACACACCCGTATGCCTGCAGGAGGCACGTGGCACACACACTGATGTGCGGAAGCAGTAGAGATTTTAAAAGACAAACTTTTAAAAAATAAATTGCTTTGTTAGGGCCAGCTGGTTGTGAAAACCAAGACCTTTGAGGAGATGAGGCTGGTTTTCAGCCTTGTGTGGCCTGCGGCAGAGACAGAAGAGATGCTCATGTAATGATGTAAGGATGCCTGGTTTGTTTTTACTTTTGTTTTCATGTGCAAACTTCCTTAAGCCTGAATTTGAAGACGCTAAAATTATTATTATTATTTTTGGAAATAGAGAAATAGAATCATTCTCATTCTGTTTGGGGTGAGATATTCAGCAGTAAAAGAATCTGCCCGCAGTGCAGGAGACACAAGAAACACAAGTTTAGTCCCTGGGTCGGGAAGATCCCCTGGAGGAGGGCATGGCAACCCACCGCGGTATTCTTGCCTGGAGAATCCCAAGGACAGAAGAGCCTGCTGGGCTCCAGTCCATGGGGTGGCAAGAGTCAGACACAACTGAAGCGATCAAGCGCAGTGAGCACATTTGCAAAGCTAAGCCCAGAGTTAGAAGGTTCCACTGAGGTTGTTCTTAATTTGCTTCTGATTTTTTTTTTTAAGTGAAGTAGCACAAACTCAATGAATAGTTTAGAAAGCAATGATAATTTTCACCTTGGGTTTTTTTTTTTAATATTCATTTACTTATTTACTTATGGGGCCATGCTGAGTCTTAATTGGAAGATGTGGAACCTCTTAATATTTCCCTGACCGGGGATTGAACCTGGGCCCCTTGAGTTGGAAGCACAGAAGCTTAGCCACTGGATTACCAGGGAAGTCCCACCTTGGCTTTTTTTTTAATTGTATTTTTTTCCACCTTGGCTTTTAAGTATAACATTAACAGACAGTAAAAAATCTGCTGGCAGTGCAGGAGCAGTTTGACCCCTGGGTTAGGAATATCCCTTGGAGAAGGGAATGGCAACCTATTCGAGTATTCTTGCCTGGAGAATCCCATGGACAGAGGAGCCTGGCAGGCTACAGTGCATGGGTTTGCAAAGAATCAGACATGACTGAGCAACTAATACTTAAGAGACTGACTTTTAAAAATTTTTTGGCCACACTGTGCAGCTTGTGGGATTTTAGCTCCCCAACCAGGGATCGAACCCTTGCTCCCTTCATTGGAAGTGTGGGATCTTAACCAGTGGCCCACCAGGGAAGTCCCCAAGAGGCTGACTTTTATGGACAAAAATATTTTGACATTTTATTCTACATCACTTTATCTTTCTTCTTTTTTAAAGTTCAGTGAGAAAACTTAGATTTTCTTATGCTGCTGCTGCTGCTGCTGCTAAGTCACTTCAGTCGTGTCCAACTCTGTGCGACCCCCATAGACGGCAGCCCACCAGTCTCCCCAGTCCCTGGGACTCTCCAGGCAAGAACACTGGAGTGGGCTGCCATTTCCTTCTCCAATGCATGAAAGTGAAAAGGGAAAGTAAAGTCACTCAGTCATGTCTGACTGTTAGCGACCCCATGGGATTTTCCAGGCAAGAGTACTGGACTGGGTTGCCATTGATTTTCTTATGAGTTAGATGTTTAAGTCATTTTTAAATGATTATATTTTCTGATGAGGTGTTTTCAGTTTTGAAACTAGTGATGTTTCTCAATATTCTCTGTAAAACAGATTTTATTTATTATTATTATTATTTTTTTTATTGCTTCAGTCAACAAAAGGGAAACTTTACTGAGCCCCAGGGCCACAGGCAGGAGGCTGCCCTGTGGGCAGAGAAGCCGGCAGAGCGGCCTTATTTGAGATTCTTCCTGGGGCGCAGGTTGGTGTGGCCATGCTTCTTGCAGCAGTTGACTGCCGAGGCTATAGGTGATCGTAATGCAGCCGATATCTTGTCTCAGTTGTATTTCTGAGCAAGCTGGCAGAGGGAAGGCTCAACGATGCCGCTTCACAGACGAAGCACCAAATGCAGGGTGAACTCTTTCTGGATTCTGTAGTCTGACAGAGCACAGCCCATCCTCCAGCTATTTGCTGGCAAAAACTAGATGCTGCTGGTCGGGCGGGATGCCTTCCTGATCTTGGATTTTGACTTTGACATTCTCAGTGGTGTCACTGGGCTGACCTCAGGGGTGATGGTCTTGCCCTTCAGGGTCTTCACAAAGATCTGCATCTCTGCCTCTGCTGCACGGCTGCCACCATTGACCTGAAAAACAGATTTTAAAATAACTTTTTTATTACAAAAGTAGTGCATACCAGTTAAAGAATGTTTGTAACATACGGGGCTTCCCTTGTGGCTCAGCGGGTAAAGAATCTGCCTGCAATGTGGGAGACCTGGGTTCAATCTCTGGGTTGGGAAGATCCCCTGGAGAAGGGAAAGGCTACCCACTCTAGTATTCGGGCCTGGAGAATTTCATGGACTGTATAGTCCATGGGGTTGCAAAGAGTCGGACATGACTGAGCGACTTTTACTTTCACTTGAAACATACAGGAAAAATATTTATGTACACATCATCTTGGACTTCCCCAGTGGTCCAGTGGTTAAGACTCCGTGTTCCTGTAGCAGGGTGCCTGGGTTCCATCCCTGGTTGGGGAACTAAGATCCTGCATGTTGCAGAGCCAGGCCAAGAAGGACGGGGGGAAGTACACCTAATCTTACCACCAAATGAGAAATACTGTTAACATTTTACTGTAAAACACAGCACTCTTTTCTGTATCTGCATATATATTTTTGTTAAAGAAAAATTCATTCATCCCACAAATATTTATTGAGCTTCTAGATCTGCAGTCTCTATACTGAGGTGTTTTGGAGAAAAAGTCAAGGCAGACACTAGAAAAGGAATTATAACAGAGCACAATCTGTGCTCTGATGGGGACTCTGAGGGGGCTTGTTGGACCATAGTGGACAGTTTATTTCTATTTTGTTTAGTTTTAGCTTTTATCTTGTAAAAGTTTAAGCATACATATAGTTTAATGAGTTGAATAGCTTTATAATATAAGGACTATTAGGAAAAGCAGTGATTCCCTTTCTCCCCTAGTTTCCCTTCTTCTCAGGAGTAATTGCTGTAAACTCTTACAATTTTTTTTTAATTGAAGTATAGTTGATTTACAATATTAATTATAGGTGTACAACAAAGTGACTCGGTATTTTCATGGATTATACTTCATTTAAAGTTATTGCAAAATAATGGTTGTATTTCCCTGTGCTGTATAGTATGTCCTTGTGGCTTATATATTTTAGACATAGTAGTGTGTATCTCTTAATCTCCTGCCCCAGTCTTGTCCCTCCCCTTTCCCTCTCCCCACTGGTAACCAACAGTTTGTTCTTTGTATCTGTGAGTTTGTTCTTGTTTTTATATATACATCCATTTATTTTTTAGTTTCCACACATAACTGATAATGTAGGGTATTTGTCTTTCTCTAGTCTGATTTTTATTTCTGTAAGCATAGTACCCTCCATATCTGTCTATATTGTTGCAAAAGGCATTATTATAGCTGAGCAGTATTCCATTGTATGTGTGTATACACCATATCTTCTTTTTCCATTTATCTGTTGATGGACGTGTACATATGTGTGCTAAGTTGCTCAGTCCTGTCTGACTCTTTGCCACCCCATGGACTGTAGCCCACCAGGCTCCCCTGTCCATGGGATTCTCCAGGCAAGAATACTGGAGTGGGTTGCCATGCCCTCCTCCAGGGGATCCTCCCGATCCTGGGATCAAACTTGTGTGTCTTCAGTCTCCTGCATCGGCAAGCGGGTTCTTTACCCACTAGTACCACCACTTAGGTTGCTTAAAAACATGGAATGCTTCACATACGTGCCATCCTTGTGCAGGGACCATGCTAATCTTCTGTGTATCCTCCCTGCTTTAGTATATGTGCTGCTGATGTGAGCATTTCTTTAAAGTCTTTAGATGGTCTTTTGGAGTTTACCTCCACATCCTTTACTTCTCATTATGGAAGGTGAGGACTTAAGTTCCTTTCATCTAACATAAGGCTTCCACACCCTCATCTTTTCCATTCAGTTATACTGTATTTTTATCTGTTCAGTATTTATTAGTTCCATTGTAGTAATTACATAGTATTTACAGCTGAGCCCTGTAGTGTGCTATGAATATGTTACCTTTTCTACACAGGTTTTTTATTTCTCTAGTGTTAATAGTTATGTTTTTCTTTGCTTGGTTTTCTGTATTTTTAATCCCCGTTTCAACCCAAACTCTCTGCTGTTGTCTACATGTCCCCTCAGTATGTTCAGATACATCAGTTTCCTCTTCTTGAAATCTCTCCTAGAGCTTTCTCCCCTGCCCCACCTGGAGTGGTCAGCTGCTTGTCCTTGTTTATCACTGCCCCGCTGTGATCTTCACTGACTTCTCTCCTATCCATTCCCTGCTTCCTGTCCCCCCCGCCCCTGCCCCGCTTGCTCTTTCTTATTTTATTCCCTTGTTTTGGTAAAGCACATCATTCAATAGTTTTATGAGAAGATTGTGTGAGAGGTAAACTTTTTGACATGGTAGTCTAAAAGTATATTTACTCCAGCTTCAGAAGTCTAGGTTGGAAATAATTTTCCTTTAGAATTTTAAAAGCATTGCTCAGTTTTCTTCTAGTTTTCAAAAAGGAATCCTCATACACTGTTGGTTGGAATGTACATTAGTACAGCCATTATGGAGAACCGTATGGGGGTTCCTTGAAAAACTAAAAAGTTACTGTATGATCCAGCGATCCCACTCCTGGGCATAAATCCAGAGAAAATCATAATTCAAAGAGATACATGCACCCTAATGTTCATTGCATTACTATTTACAATAGCCAAGACATGGAAGCAACCTAAATGTCCATAGACAGATGAATGATAAAGAAGACATGGTACATATAGACAATGAAATATTACTCAGCCATAGAAAGAATGAAATGAGGCCACTTGTAGCAATCTGGATGGACCTATAGATTATCATGCTAAGTGAAGTAAATCAGACAGAGAAAGAAAAATTTCATGTAATATCACTTTATGTGGAATCTAAAAAAAATGACATAAATGAGCTTATTTGCAAAACAGGAACAGACTTACAGATATAGAAAACAAACTTATGGCTACCGAAGTGGGAAGCTGGGGGGAGGGATAAATTAGGAATTTCGGATTGGCAGATTCACACTGCTGTATATGAAATAGATAAGCAAGGACCTACTGTATAGCACATGGAACTCAATACTTGTAATACTCAATATCTTGTAAATGATCTATATGGGAAAAAAATGTGGTTGCAAGAGAGTTGGACAGGTCTGAGCAATTAAAGAAGAGAATACCTGAAACTAACACAACATTGTAAATCAATTATGCTTCAATTAAAAAATTCTTTTTCTTCTAGTTTCCAATGCACTGTGAAAACCATTCTGATGCCCAGTTTTTTATGTGTGACTTGGTTGGGGTTTCTTTGTTTTTGTTGTTTTTGCCATTAATGGGATTTCAGGATGAAAGGAAGTACTTATCCTCAATCCACCATCATTATAATGAACACACTGTTTTGGGCACTTATTTTTACATTTTTAACTGATTTTAATTTTTAATTGATGAAAAAAATCCATGTCATTAAATATTCTATAGTATCATTTCTTGGCTGCATAGAGTGTGATTGTTTGGATACAATCTTGTACTGTTGGTCCCTTAGGCTGTTTTCAGTTTTTCATTATTATATAGATAGTATTTGAATAAGTACTTTTTCTGTTAAATTTTTGGATTAATCTTTACTGTTTACTAGAATAAATTTCTAGAAGTGTAATTGCAGAGTCCAAAGGTCTCTGAGTATTTTGATATATTCTCCAAGTTATTCTTCCAAAAATTTGTAGCAGTTTTTTTAGTCACCAGTAGTATATGAAGGAAAAACATCTGCTTACATTCTGATCCTCCCCCCTTCTCCTGCCCTTTAAAAAAAATTTCCTTTGCTCAGAACAGCATTTCATTTGTACGTGACTTACTGACTTTTATGTCTAGTGTCCTGAGAGAAGTTTTTTAGTATGGAAAACAAGGTGTTCTTTCTAGTTTTCTGCTTGGGAGTTGGAGCATTTAAACTCAAGTCTTGGTTTTACCACTAAGTTGCTTTTAATGAATAATAACTGTTGTTATGATTATCTGCAAAAGTTACAGGAGGAAAAAAACAATGACCATTAAGCTCAAATATCTACCACATTCTAAAGTTACTTCCACTGTTTGTCAGTGGACATTAGTGCATTTTATGTCATAATCTGTGTTGTGTGTGACTTTTTCCACTTTACTTGCTAGGTCTCAGTATTGTCTGCAGACTTGTTGATGTTAATTCTCAAATCCTTTCTTTTTTATATTGATTTTTGCATTTTATTTTTTGGCTGTGCCACACGACTTGTGAGATCTTAGTTCCCAGTTGTATTAGTCGCTCAGTCATGTCCAACTCTTTATGACCCTATGGACTGTAGCCTGCCAGGTTCCTCTGTCCATGGGGATTCTCCAGGCAAGAATGCTGGAGTGGGTTGCCATTCCCTTCTCCAGGGGATCTTCCCAACCCAGGGATTGAACCTGGATCTCCTGCACTGCAGGAAGATTCTTTACCGCCTGAGCCACAAGGGAAGCCCCATAAAAGTCTAGTCCCGATATCAAACTCAACCGATCCTTCCATTTACGTATTTCTAAGTTAACACAGCAGCGGGAGCAAAGAGCCCTAATCATTAGGTCACCAGGGATCACCAGTCCTTTAACCTCTTTCTAGTACTCCTTGTGTTCTGTGACATCATGTGCCTCAGATTTTGATGACCTTTTTTTTTTAATCTCTCTATATATATCATGCTTATTTTCATTTTATGACTCATCACAATTATTTTATTATTTTTCTTTTGGGCTGTTTCCTTGTGGGGTATATTTCTCAAAGTGGAATTATCAAAAATTCAATGTTTGGGGACTTCCCTGGTGGTCCAGTGGTTAGGCACTTTCACTTTGGGGGCCCAGGTTCAATCTTTGGTCTTGGATCTGAGATCTCAAAGCTGAGTGGGACATGGGTAAAAAAAGATTTCAACGTATTCTTTTGACTTAGTGAATCTCACTACACAGGGCCACATGGCTCTGTTGTTGGGAGACGCCAATAGACTCTGTTTTATCTCTCTTTTGCTCTTAGTTTCTCCAGCTGCATGATGGTGCTAAACAATGTCTGTGAGACTCTTAGCGCAGTGATGCTAATGAAAGAAAGAGAATATTTAGGAGCTGCTTGGAGGATAACTTGCTGCTCTATGGTATTGTGTGCCTGTGTGCTAAGTTGCTTCAGTTGTGTCCGGCTCTTTGGGACCCCATGGACTGTAGCCCACTAGGCTCCTCCGTCTGTGGGATTCTCCAGGCAAGAATACTGGAATGGGTTGCCATTCCCTTCTCCAGGGGATCTTCCTGATCCAGGGATTGAACCTGCATCTCCTGTGGCTCCTGCATCGTAGGCAGATTCTTGACTGCTGAGCCACCGGGGAAGCCATGGTATCATACCACCCAGCAACTAATGGGTGGGTCCCAAGTGGCTTCTTGTGGTTACAGAATGCAGTCAGCTGTCGGGGTGTGACTGCAGTTACGAATGTGGGAATGATATGTTCTGATGATAATATAAGTAAGGAATATTTCCCTTCAGGGTGAAAGAGACCATTGTATATCTGTCATGTGAATATTCTCTTAACAACCCTAGGAGGGAAGATAGTCATAGATGAGGGGATTATAGTTCACAGAAGTGAATTAACTTGCTCGAGGGCGGACTATAGACAGCAGAGCCAGAATCCCCTGGAGGTCTGTTTGACTTAACGCCCATTATCTATTCCACTCCAGCAGAGTAATTAATTGCCTGTGTATGGTGAGAGGGGAGTCGTAGGGGGAGGTTTGAGTGTATCCCAGGAGTACTCTGTCAGTTGTCTTTGCAGAAACTGGGTAAAAGTAGGAAATGTTAAGTCGTGCCCAACTCTTTTTTTCTTGTAACAGACAATGAACCAAGCCGAGTCTCAGAGCCTAAGAAGACTCTGTCACCCACTCCTGCAGCAGACCCAAGTCAGACAAGAGATCCAAAACAGGGGCCCCAGGAACTGCAGGAAAAGAAAATTCAGGTGCTGGAGGAGAAGGTTCTCCGGCTCACCAGGACAGTTCTGGACCTTCAGTCATCCGTTGCTGGAGTGAGCGAAAACCTCAAACACGCCGTCCAGGATGATGCCAGCAAGATGCTGGCCTCATGGCTCAGCAACCTGCACCCCCGGCCAACGCCGAACAGCGCCATGGGTGGAGAACCGGAAACGGTTCAGCCCCCCGGTGTCCTCAACAATAAGGAGTCAGGAATGAAGGACATCAAGTCTGAACTGGCTGAAGTCAAGGATGCCCTGAAGACCAAGAGTGACAAGCTGGAGGAGCTGGACGGGAAAGTGAAGGGCTACGAAGGGCAGCTCAGACAGCTCCAGGAGGCCGCCCAGGGCCCAACGGTCACCATGACGACCAGCGAGCTCTTCCAGGCCTACGTGGACAGTAAGATCGATGCCCTGAGGGAGGAGCTCATGGAAGGGATGGACCGGAAGCTGGCTGATCTGAAGAACTCATGCGAGTACAAGTTGATCAGTTTCCAGCAGAACTGTGATGACTATGGGAGCAGCTACCTGGGAGTGATCGAGCTGATAGGAGAGAAGGAGGCCAAGCTGAGAAAAGAAATCAGTGACCTTCAAGCCCGGGTCCAAGACCCTCCAGCCCGTGCAAATTGCTGTGATGGTACCAAGCCTGATGACTTGGGGCCACAGATCCAGATGTTAGACCAGAAAATCGAAAGAGTTGCTGAAGCAACAAGAATGCTGAACGCACGACTGGACAATGAGTTTGACCGCCTCGAGGTTCCAGAGCCGGACGTGGACTTCAATGCCAGATGGCATGAACTGGATGCAAGGATCAACGTGACGGAGAGGAACGCAGAGGAGCACTGCTTTTACATTGAAGAAACCCTCCGGGGCACCATTAGTGGGGAGGTGGACGGCCTGAGGCAGCTGCTTGATCAGAAAATACAGTCCCTGGAGGAGCGGCTGGGGAGCGCCCTCCTGGAGATGGAACCTGCTCCCCCAGTGGCAGCCCCGCCCGCTGTGTCGGGGGCTGGGCACCCGCAGGTCGTGATGGAGTTAAAGCGCCTGGAGGACCAAGTGCGGGTGGTGGAGGACCTGTGCCTGCAGAGCCTCCGAGGGGAGCCTCGCGCGGGGGAAGACACTTTGCAAAACGGGGGCGAGATGGTGAACCTCCTGAGATCTCTAAACGACACAATGCAGGGGAAGTTTCAGGACACGCAACGCAGCATCCAGCGACTTCAGCAGGACTTCAGTTTTCTTTCTTCTAGGCTCAACCACACAGATGACCACTTGAGACGTCTACAGGATGAGCTGAGTGGTGGTAGAGGAGGGAAAAAGGCTGCAGGGGGTGGATGGTCCAAGGGGGGTGAGCCGGGGAGGACGGAGGCGCCCCTGCCGTCTCCCCAGGCCCCCCCAGTACGTTGCTGCGAGCAGCTGGAGGGCAGGTGGCAGCAGCTGCAGGACCTCGTCCTCAGCGAGCTGGACACTTGTAAGGAGAAGACGCACGGGGTCCAGAGGGAGGTCTCCGTGGTGGAGGACAGGGTGTCTCACATGGAAAAGACCTGTAGCAAGCTGGACTCCATCTCTGGAAGCCTTCAGAAAATCAAGGAAGGGCTCAACAAGCATGTGAACAGCCTCTGGAGCTGCGTCCGGCAGATGAACGGGACGCTCCGGACACACTCCAGAGAGATCTCCGGCCTGAAGAATTCCGTCCAGCAGTTCTACAGCCACGTCTTCCAGATTTCTACTGACCTGCAAGACCTGATCCGGTTTCAGCCATCGGCAAGTAAGTGCACCTTTGCCTTTCCATTTTGAGTATTTGTAACGTGTGTTCTGCTAGATTTTGGATGGCTTGTGACATCAGCCACGTCACTGCTAGCCCAAAGTGTGCTTCGTAGATGGGGTGGGGGAAAGTGCGTGAATCCTTTGGTGCTGAGTAGCAATGAGACTAAGACCAACAGTGAGAGCAAGTGTTTAGAAACTTTTAGAATAACTTGACATCACTGCAGCATTCAAGCACACGATTTGTGCATTTTGTAAATTATCAGCCCACAACAGGTTGAAAGTAGAAAGAAAACTGGTCCTTCCCCTCAGGTAGGTGGCAGAAGGCTGATCTATACTATCATGTTGGGGAGCTTAGATTTGGGGTCAGATTTGTGCCCTAACAGCTTGGGGCAATGGGTATGTTGTCCTGTCTTCTACTCAGGAAGTTTCCTGTATGCAAACCCCTTCACCTCTCTGAAAACATCACTTTTTGTTTGCTGTTGTCATTATAATCTTCATCATTATCATCTTTGGGCAATCTCTTGTTCCCTAAAACCTGGGTCCTGGATGATGGCAAGTAGAATGCATTGTGTTCCTTTCCAAAGACAGAGAGAGGACCATGGACAGGGTACTTTAGGGGCAGTAACTGTTCAAAGCCCCAGAGCACCCAGAACAAGGATGCTGATTGGCCATGTTCAGGGCGATGCATGCTACACACTAGGTATGCGCATCTTTGCTAATCCCTTCAGTCATGTCTGCCTCTTTGTGACTCCATGACTGTAGCGGGCCAGGCTTCTCTGTCCATGGGATTCTTCAGGCAAGAATACTGGAGTGGGTTGTTGTCTCATTTTCCAGGGGATCTTCCTGACCCCAAGGATCAAATCTGTGGCTCCTGCATTGCAGGCAGATTCTTTACCGCAATACGTTTCCTTCTCAACAAATGTTTGTTGAATGAATGAATGGACTGAATGAATGAATGGTCCCTTAATAGCACTGAGTGACATGTTCAAGTTAAATTCTTTGTTACCTGGGGGCTCAGCATGTCATCCCTGAAGGTCAGAGCCTCCCTGGTACCTGAATTTGGCAACCTCAATGCTAAGCAGTTTTCCTTCTTATTTAAATTTTATTTATTTATTTTCGGCTGTGTTCGGTCCTCATTGCCGGGCAGACTTTCTCCAGTTGGAGACAGCGGGGGCTCCTTTCTAGTTGCAGTGTGCGGGCTTTCTCACTGCAGTGGCTTTTCTTGTTGCGGCTCCCAGGCTCCAGAGCACAGGCTTAGTAGTCGTGGCGCACGGGCTGCTCCCGGAGGGACGTGTTCTAAAGTCGCACAGCTGAGAAGTGGTGGAGGCGGGCTGGGGACCCTGGGTGCCGTCCTCCAGGCCAGCCCACATCTCTGTGTCTCCCAGAGGCGAAGGCAGACTTACGGGTCCACGAGACCTTGGGGAGGGCCAGTCATGCGCCCAGAAAGACTCAGCTCCTGACCAGGCCTCCCCCTGTTTTCTTTCCCGTCTTCTTGCTGGCCTGTGTTACCTCTTCACCTTGCTCAGCTCCAGGTGACAAAGGCCCTCATGTGTTGATGCCAGCTCCTGGCCTGGTGTGAGCCTCTGGGATTTTAGGATTGGGTCCTATTGGAAAAGGCTCTGATGCTGGGAAAGATGGAAGGCAAAAGGAGAAGGGGGCAGCAGAGGATGAGGTAGTTGGACGACATCACTGCCTCAATGGACATGAATGTGAGCAAACTCCAGGAGACAGTGGAGGACAGAAGAGCCTGATGGGCTGTAGCCCATGGGGCTGCAAAGAGCCGGACACAGCTCAGCAGCTGCACAATAGCAACAACAACCCAGCTGAGACTTACAGCCCGAGGAGAGGAGAGCCAGGGCCTGATCCCAGGGAGGCGGGAAGGTCTGAAGTGGTCAGTGGGACAGGCTTTGAACCTTCCCAGAGATAAGGAGTTTGTAGATAAGGAATTACCCAGGCCAGTCCCGCTATTTATAACCCCCATCCCCTCCCCCCAGGCCCACACCGCTCCCGGATCTCTGGAATGCTGGGGAAAGGTCAGGGGACCCTGTGTGTGTTCATGGGATGATTGTCCCTCCTGGTGACCGTTCTGTCTGGACTGTGCTTTGTAACAACAGATCGAACCAGATAGTTCCAGTTGATTTGCAGCTCCCAGGCAGCGTGGGAAGTGGTATTAACTCCTTCACGCTTGCCTGTGGAAAGAGGAGTTGGGGGTGAATGCCTGTAAAGAGAAGGCGGCTCCCACAAGATGCTCCTTTTGGAACGAATCCATCGTTGTGAGTGTAGGATGCGTGGACTTTCGGGAACTGCATTGATTGAGGAGAGCCACTGATGAGCAGGCAGAGCTGTCCGTTCTTGGAGCACATCCAGATCTGGGAGAACCGGAATGTCGGGTCTCTGGGTGAGTCTAGAGCTCAGGTCACAGCGCCCAGCAAAGAGTCAGCAGCACATTTATTGAGCACTTACTGTGTGCAGCAGTGACTCAGTGGACGTGAGTTTGAGCAAACTCCAGAAGATAGTGAAGGACAGGGGAGCCTGGCGTGCTGCAGTCCCTGGGGTCATAGAGAATCGGACAGGACTTAGTGACTAAACACCACTGTGTGCAGGGCCCCGTGAGGGATGAGGTGGTGAGTAGCACGACCCTGACCTTCCAGGCATTTTCAGGCACAGGTTTGGGGGTGGGGGAGTGACGCACACAGGTCTGCAGAGAGGGTGGATGAGATGGTGTGTCAGGGCTCATCCTTTGAGCCCATCTTGTGTGGGAGCAACGAGCTTATGTGTGTGGAGCACCGGGATGACAGTGTATGGGACAGTGACGGTCTGAGGGGAAACAGGCAGAGATGGTCACGGCCACCGTGGAAGTCAGGGAGGGCTTCTCTGAGTTGATGAGGCCTTCTCATCATCACGGCTGAGTAGGTTGCGAGTTCAGAGACTGGCAGGGTGAAGGGTGAGATGCAGTGATAAGAGAGACTTCTGAAAGGAGGCGATACTGGAGCTTATGCCAGAGGGTGGGGGGTTGTTCAGTCCCTCGGTTGTGTCCGACTCTGTGTGACCTCATGGACTGCGGCACGCCAGGCTTCCCTGTCCTTCACCACCTCCCAGAGTTTGCTCAAACTCCTGTGTGTTGAGTTGGTGATGCCATCCAACCATCTCATCCTCTGTCGCCCCCTTCTCCTCCTGCCCTCAATCTTTCCCAGCATCAGGGTCTTTTCCAATGGGTCAGCTCTTCGCGTCAGGTGGCCAAAGTAGTAGAGCTTCAGGATCAGTCCTTCCAGTGAACATTTAGAGCTGATCTCCTTTAGGGTGAACTGGTTGCATCTCCTTGCAGTCCAAGGGACTCTCGAGAGTCTGCTCCTGCACCACAGTTGGAAAGCGTCAACTCGTGGGTGCTCAGCCTTCCTCGCGCTCCAGCTCGCACATCTGTCATGCCTACTGGAAGGGTTCAGGGAAGCAGGAGGGGAGGGCGTCCCGGCTGAGGGCGGAAGGGACCTGCTGGTTGCTGCTGCATAACAGCCGACCCCAGACCTTGGTGGCTTAAACCACAGGGCTTCCTCACTCCCGCTGTTCTGCGGGGCGGGAGCTGACTTGGCAGCTCTTCTGCTCCACTTGACATCCGCTCCAGCTCAAGCTTGACAGCCGCTTGAATCGGGGGACCGCTGGGCTGGGCTGGGCTGGGCTGGGCTGGGCTGGGCTGGGCTGGAAGCTGCAGGAAGACCGGCCCCATGTTTCTCTGCATGGCCATCCTCTCTCTCCACGTGGTGGACGTGAGCCTCCTCACAGCGTGGCGGTCTCGGGGAGTCACACCTACCACATGGGAAAAGCAGGAGCCCCTTCCAGGTGAGGCCCGCAGCTGGCACCGGGTCCTTTCTGCCACATCCCATTGTTCAATACAAGTCAGCCTGAGAGGTGACGCAGCTTGTGTGTTGGGAGGGGAGGAGCATTAACGATCGTCATCATTGCTCCCACTGCGAGCCAAGGTGCAAAGCTGAGGATGCAGGACATGGTCACCAGAGGCCAGATTGCTGGGTCAGGGACCCAGACTCTGCTGTTTTTACCTCGTCTGCTGCCCTGCGCATGGAGCCCGTTCTCTTCTTTAGAAGCACCCAGAGGGAGCTGAACTACCCAGCTGGCAGCACGTGGGGAGGGTGGAGGGGGAACCCGAAGGGGCCTCAGGCCATGCTGAAATCAATCCTGGTCTCTCTGTATCTTTGTATCCCTCACATCAGTGCAGACGTTCTTCCATGGGTCTTAAAAGAGACTCTGAAGATTATATACAAATGTTTGGTTACTTTTTTGGACAAAAGTTCCCTGCCTTTCATCCAGGACTTGGAGAGGTACCTAACTTCTAAAAGGTAAAGAACTAGTGTATTTTTTTGGCTGCATCTTGCAGCTTATGGGGATCTTAGCTCCTCAACCAGGGACTGAACCCATGTCCCCGGCAGTGGAAGTGCAGAGTCAACCACTAGACTTCCAGGGAAGTCCTTAGGACTACTGTATTTTCATGACTGTCTCATTGTCCACTCTGTGACGTGGGTGTCATGCCCCTTTCCTGGGCCCCGTGCATCCCATCCCCCTTCATTCACACAGTGATTCATTCAACAAATACTGAGTCATGTCCTCACACTGGAGTTTTAGCCCTTGCAGGATCTGGGCTGGGGGAAGTCAGGGAATGTACAGTCCAGCAAATAAAGGTCTGATTTCAGCAGGCGATCAGTGTGCAGGGAAAGATAAGCAGAGGAGGTGACAGAGGACAGGGGACTTGGTGTTTTAGATGAGAAGTCAGGGAAGGTTGCCCAGTGGAGATGACGTTTGAGCAGAGACATGAATAAGATGAGGGAATGAGCCTTGTGGAGATCTGTTCCCGGCGGAGGGAATAGCATGTGCAAAGGTCCCAAGGCAGGGATGTCTCTGTCCTGTTTGAGAACTCAAGACGTCAGTTTGATCAAGTCCATGAGCAAGGGGGGAAGGTCATAGGCAGTGAGGACAGGGGTAGGGGTCAGATGA